TGATGTATAAAAATTGAATTACATTGTCACAGCTTGTTTAAATAAAATTTAGGTGGAAATATCAATAATGTGTGGTGGTGGAGGTTTATATTTTTACTATAATTAAAATACAAAATTTATTTTTATGGTAAACTAAAACATCGAAAAAAGTTGCATTGAAGATGAAACATGACTCACTTTCAGCTGTATGACAATATCATCAACCAAAAACTTTTTGCCAGTCTTCAAAAAATTATGTTTACAGAATATATTTATTCGTTACTCTTTAATTCTTTTGCAGTGTCAATAGCAAATTTTGGAAGACCTGAGAAGACCAACAACTGGTGATTGCCTTAAACCCTGGACACTAATGCTTTGGTATAACTCAAATAATTGTTTAATATTTTTTTCCTTTTCAGATCTAATTTTGAAGGGTACACTCAGTATGAAGACTGTTGCACAGAGTACTATAGATAGAATTTGGTGTGGTGTGGTGTAGTGTGGTAGAGGTGTTGCTTCAAACACTTACATTTGAAAATGCTTCAGCATAGCAAACCTGTCTGCCTAAAATCTAGTACAAGCCAGCCAAGCAGTCAAAGTCTGTGTCCCACTAACTGGCAGCTATGAGCATTGTGTCAAGTACATAAAGATAAAAACTCATCTGTCCAGCAAAGAGTACAAGACAAGGCTATGGTTCCGGATAGATGACAATGGCTAAGAATCTACAGGCTTTTCAATGCCTAGATTTTATGCCTATCCATATAGAAATGCGTAGGCTGGATGATGGGGAAGGAGTTGAAAATACCCTAAAGAAGCATCAGACTGTCTGGCGCGTCCTGCTACAATAACTTTAGCAACTTAAAGTTGCAGAGGGCACAAAAGCACAAATCAGATGAGATGTAATGCCAGCATCTGTACTTGAGTCAGTAAAGCATGCTAAACAGTTAGGTCAATCTCAGTATGATGCTTACGTAGTAGAGCGATTCGATCATTGCTCAAAGGCAGTCACAGATACCATCAAAAAGAACAAGCTACTGCTTACAAACCTCAGAGGAAGTCCACAACAAAAATTGCTACCCTGAAGAGCGATTGCAATCTCTTTTCTAGATTATATATTGCTTCTCAAACTAGAGATGGTAACTTTGAGGAATTCTTTAAGCATGAGAACCAGGCCTATCCACCCTCTCTTTCAACCATGGGAAAAATAAGAGCTGGACAAAAGTCAGAGCTCCCCCCTTGCATTGAGAAAGACACTACAGAAGTTCCAGATGTAGATGTGAAAATTCTGGATGGTGCTGCAGTTATCAACATGCTTCCCCTAAAAAACTGCAAAACCTTCAAGGGCTATGCCACCTGTGTTTTCGAGCCTTACATTCGTACTCAACTGCAATCTGTGGAAAGACTGGACATTGTATGGGACAGATACATAGCTGGAAGCTTGAAACAAAGCACCAGAGAGTATCGAGGCAATGGCATCCGCAGACGTGTAGCACCAGATACTTCTGTACCTTCAGGCTGGGAAGCCTTTCTTCGAAATAATGAAAATAAAACAGAACTGTTTGCCTATCTGGCAACGCACATTGAGACTCTTTAGTGGAAGGCAAATGCATCATTAGTACATTCTATGAAGATGTGGTTAGCTCTTCAGAGGTGGATAAGCATGGGATAGCACCATGCAATCACGAGGAAGCTGACACCAGGGTTATCTTACATGTTGCTCATGCGGCAAGAAGTGGCTTCACCAAACTCATGGTGAGAACTGTTGACACTGATGTTGTCATCCTTGCTGTGGCATATGCTCAGAGGATAAATCTCAGTGAACAATGGATTGCATTTTGTGTGGGTAAACACTACCGGTAACTTCCTGCTCATGCTATTGCAAGTGACGTTGGACCAGAAACTTCCCGAGCTTTGCCTTTCTCCTATGCCATCAGCGGATGCGATACTGTGTCAGCATTTACAGGCAGAGGGAAACGCAGTGGCTTTGACACATGGAAATCCTATCCTGACGTTACCAAAGCCTTTTGCGATCTTTCGACACAGCCACTAACCATCACAAATGAGAATGTAGAGTGCATTGAAAGATTTGTCATTCTCCTCTATAGCCGCACCTGCCCTCTAAGCAACATCAACCAAGCCCGTCAGGTCCTCTTTGATCAGGGTAGCCGAAGCATTGAAAACATTCCACCAACCAAAGCTGCACTTATAGAGCATATCAAAAGAGTATGCTTTCAAGCTGGACATGTCTGGGAGCAGACACTTGCAGCAGTTCAGGATTTACCCAGTCCAAGTGCATGGGGCTGGCAGCCAACTACAGGAGGCTGGGAACCCAAGTAGTCAACACTACCAGAGGCATCAAAGTCATGTCAAGAACTTATTTCCTGTGGCTGTAAGAAGGCTTG